TTAATAACTAAATTACTGTGCAATATTACTTTCACTCAAGAATGTTAGATGCTTAATAAAAAGTGCCAGGACGGGATGTGCTCAGCATTTTCACACTCATTTACTGCAATACTTCAGAGCATTATAGAATGTTCAATTGAAATGTAATTTTCCAGCTAAGTTTCAGCTCTGCAAAGGGCTAGGGAAACTCAAACCCTAGATTTTGTCCTAGAGATTTTGAAGTTTAATGTTATTATGACTATTTCACATGCCAAGGTAAACCCAACAGTGTTAAGTTACACTCCTGGGGATGGAGTACAAATATAATCTCCGGCTTACAACTGACTTGCAACCAAAAACCCGCAGACTTGAACTGCTTCTCAAAAAAGAGATGTAACTGATGTCAGCACTGGAAAGATGAAAGCAAATTGATCCCTACATATCAATGCCAATGTGCCAGTGCACATCCAACTATGGCAATAATACAAAAACGGAAGGAGATCAGGATATCCAAACTTTAGAGGCTTTAGAGGCTAGACCAAATTAAATTTGATCAAAGATCAGAAACATTATAACTACCAGTCTAAATGCACTCTGTTAAGTTTAATTGCAAGTGTATCCATAATTTATTTCCAAGAGCTTCAAGACATCCTGGCCAGTACTTTGAAATTTTTTTACCTAATGGTTCAAGAATAGAGATATTTTAAGAATCTAAGACTATAATGGCATATTTATAGGTGATTATATACAGTGGGATGTATAACATGATTCCCTGATCTTTTGATAACACTTGGACCGTTGAATGAGAGCCTGAGTGAAAGCAGTAATTCAAAATTTCCTTCCTTTGTGATTTTTTTGGTCTAAATCTCACCATTACTTTTTCATTGTTTGGTCCTTATTGTATTAAAGGGCAGGGCAAGTCTGATAAGAGCAAAGGAAAGGCTTAGCACAGTTTGGAGAAGGCAATATGGACTTCCTCTAAAACCAGTACAGGGACCCACCCCGGGGGGCTGGAACCATGGGAATTTCCTTCTGTAGCATGTACCAGCCTATAACTTAACCTTTACTATAAGATTGATGAGACCAAAGAATGGAGCATTCTCGACTCAAGGTAAAATCAAATACCACAAGTTAGAAGTTCAGGTGAATTTCTATTTCATGGACACTAGCATATTGTCGAGAAGACCCTCAGATTGCAAGAAGGGAGAAAAAAGTTTTTCTCCTACAACTCCACTCAACTGTGATGAATTGAAATTCTATGCCTGAGGACAGCAACCCCACAGAGCCCCAGAAGAAAAAAAAGAAACTTTAAAGTCACTTCTAAAAACCGATGAATGTCACATATTATGCTCACAGGATATCCTATCCAAAAGGATTTGCTTCTTTCCACCGTCAACTTGCAGCTGTGACTGTCACATTCTTGGGGTGAAACTATGCTCCAAGTCCACTTAAGCCTGATCTGCTTATGAAAACTACCAACCACAAATATGCAGCCATTGGAGCATCCTGACCTCCCATCACTAACACAAACACTTTGGATCTGCTTGATTTATTAATATGATGAGTGATTCTACTAGAACAATGGTTCTCAATATGGGGCTGATTTCCCCCACACACAGACATAAGGGACATTTGGCAATGTCTGAGAACAATTGATTGTTATAATGGAGGGGACAGTGAAGAGGGGCTTACTATTGTCATCCAGTGGTGGGTAGAGCCAGAGATTTTGCTAAACATCTTACAAAGCAAAGAATAACCAGGGAGGGGAGGCAAGCAAACAAACAAAAATCTTGCCCATGTCAATAGGGCTGAGAGTGGAATACTCTGAACCTCTAAACTGGAGTTCTTTTCTTTTTTTACAACTCTTTTGTGGAAATGAGCATGTATGTGACTGGGTGAGGTTGGGGTAGGAATGTATTTATTTGCTCCCATATTTCTCTACGTCAACACCTCCTCTATTATCATTTTCCCCCCAGTCCTGGGGATTGAATCCAGTCACATCTTCAGCCCCTTTTATTTTTAATTTTGAGACAGGGTCTTGCTAAGTTGCCCAGGCTGACCTCAAACTTGCCATCCTCCTGCCTCAGCCTCCCTAGTCCTCTTCTCACCTTTTTTGTAACTGTTCACTCTTCTCTTTTCACCTGAATTCCTGGCTCCTTACACAAAGGATGACTTTTAGAACAAAACAAATGTTGCTGTCTTCCAGAAGCCAAGTGGTAAGTGCTAACTTTTCAAGTGACTTCAACTGTTTTGATGAATAGAGCTTCTTTTATAGCTGGTGAAGAAAAACAACCCAGATAATGGTCTCTGCAGCTGTTGGGAAGTTTGTCAGTTTATTTGTTTATTTTGTCTAGATTAACTGCCCTGGCTACATCAACTGCACTTGACCAAGCAAAATGTCTCATTCCTAAATTAGGATAGTCAAAGACACTAGATGAACGTGGAAAGAAACATGAAACCACGGGAAAGAAGATAAGGCTGACCACCTAATCATCTTGTTTTCAGAAAAATCCAGACATCACCTGCTATAGTCCAGAAAAAGAAACATGGAAGAAAACAAAAATGCTAATAAGAATGCAAAGACAGGCCAAACTAGAAATTGAGATCAGGAGAAAGAGGAGACCACATTCTTTTCCATAACTACTTTATACTCATCCTCCAGGATACAGGCATTGCCTGCTTTCTTTAAAAGTGCCAAAGTATAATCCACATCCTTTCTAGTTACATATCAAAAAGCTCACAGCCCTATTCTAATCAAAAGGTAGGGATTCCCAAGGATAGTTGAGTCTGGAAGCAGGGTTATCTAAATGACCTGATAAACCCTTATCTGTTATCATCCTGTGATATGGAGCACATTTTTATTATGAGTTGCTGGATTACAGGAAATAAAATGAGAGGGAAAAGGCTGTATATCTTTACCTAAAGCCATATACCCTTATTTGGGAAGGAATTTAAAAGTTATAATTAAACAGAGTGACATAAAGGAGCGTCAGTAAGTTTCCTCCTGTCCATCACAAAGCTAACAGTTCATCCTCAGAGACCCAGTTCTCCCTGCCCCTGACACTCCAGCTACACAGGAAGTTTGATTTTTTCACACTTCAAGATTCTGTTTCTCACCCCCATTCCCTTTATCATGCTATTCCCTCAGTGGACAATGCTCTCATCTTCATCCCCACTCTTGTCTTCCTCTTTATTAAGATAGGATCAGGTGTCATTTTTGGAACTTCCTTTTATTCTACCCCACCCATTTCTGTACTTCCATAGTAATCAGTTCATAACATCATCATTATTATACAGAAGACCTTTTCACATCCATTCACTTTTCCAGTAGATCTCAAAAATTTAGTGAGCAAAATGTTCACTTGAAGAATTTGTTAAAATACTTATTGATTTGCTCTGTACAAACTTTGATTCAATAATTGTGGAGTAGGCTCAAGAGACTACATTTGTAAATAAAACCTTCCCTAATAATTCTTTTTTATGATTTTTTTCAGCTTTGTTGAGGCATAATTGAGACATTAAAATTATATTTATTTTTTTAAGGTGTACAATGTGGTGTTTAGATACAAGTATACCTTATACACACAATGGAGTTTTATCCAGCCATAAAGGGAAATGAAATTATGCCAATCACAGGAAAATAGATGGAGAGACCATTATGTTAAGTGAAATAAGCCAAATTCAGAAGGTCAAGGGTCATGTGTATTATCTCATATGTGAAAGTAAGAAAGGCAAAGGAGAAAGATGGGGTCACGGGTATCTTATGAAAATCAAAAGGAAATTGATAAAGGATGGGAACTAGGAGTAGGAGGTGGGAGGGAGGGGGAAATGCTAAGAGTGATACTAAATTAAAAAAAAAAAAAGATAAAAGCCTACCAAGCACAAAGATTCACACAGTCGAGTTAATTAATATGCCTCACATAGTTCCTTGTGTGTGTGTGTGTGTGTGTGTGTGTGTGTGTGTGTGTGTGTTAAGAAAATTTAAAATCTATTCTGAGAAAATTTCTAGAATATAATACATCATTATTAATTATAGTTACAATGTTGGACATTAGGTCTACAGACTTATTCATCTTTTAAATGAAAGTTTGTACCCTTTGTCAACATTTCCTCATTTCCCTCCTCCTCTCCCCTGGCAACAACTATTCTACTTTCTGTTTCTCTAAATTAAACTTTTTAAGATTCCACATATAAGTGATATCATGCAACATTTTCCTTCCTATTCCGAGGCTAGTGTTCAACCACATTGGAGAGACTGGCTTCGTCTGTATGCTGAGCTCCCTGATAACTCCAAACTAGAAGCCATCTTCAATTCACCTTTATATCCTCATTCCTGGCCAGGATCTACACAGAGAAAATCCAAGTTCAGTAAAAGTCTTTGAAGGGATAAGTCCTGAAACATCTTAGTAAGAGAGCAGTAAAAGAAATTAGAAGGCAGGACTGATGGAAAATCTTTGAAGTCAAATTTCCAGTTACTTCAAATTTACCAAGAAATTTACAATTTGCTTTCTTCACTTTGGGCATCAGCTCCCTGTACTGAGCTTCCCTCTGCCCACCATACCTGAGGTTATACCAATCAGCTACCTAGGGGCTTCTCTATCTCTTTATACTGCATACCACACTCTCCTAGTGTTGCAGTCAGGAAAAAGGTGTGTTTCATGTTAAATGCTTCCCTGTACTTTCTCATTGTCCATTCTTTTGTTGTTACTGCTGTTGTTAGTTGTTTTAGCTTTGAGATGTAATATACAAAAAAAAGTATACACAGTACACTTCTTGGTTAGTTTGGACATATGCATATAGCCACGATACCATCACCACAATCATAGTATTAAATATATCCATCTCAAAAAATCTCATTTCCTTCCTTCTTTCCTTCCTCTCTTCCTGAATAATTAACATGAGAGCTATAGGTGTAGCTCAATGGTAATATGCTTGCCTAGAATATGCAAGAACCTGGGTTCAATGCCCAGTACGACCATCAGAAAAAAAAAAAAAAAACAACATGAGATCCATCCTCAACATATTTTCCTCAACATATATATTTTTAATATCCAAAATGTGTTTATTGGGATGTTTTCCCACTCGTCTTGATTCAGGCTGCTCTTAGTGCTGCTTCCTCCTGAAGGAACATCCTTCTGTAAGCCTTGCTTTTCCTCCTGTAAGCTCACAGAAGACAGTGGAGCAGCCAACACACAAAATTACTGTTCGTGCATGGCTAAAAACTGTGGTGATTTTATAGCATTCTGGGCATTTCACATACATGAAATAGGAGTTGGGGCTCTGCACCAGGCATTTCTTCCAGTGTTTCTGCTTCTCTTCTTCCAGAGAGGAATGAAGGAGATCTTTTGCAAGAGGCATGTTCTCATGGGGAGGTCGTCACCGCTGGAAAGACTGAACATACTGTAAAGTGCACAATACAGTATTGCTGTTACTATGTTGTATAGCAGATCTCTAGAACTTAATCCTTATCTATTCTTAATTGAATAGAAATATCCTACTACTTTTACATAAATATAAAGAAAGGTCTGTATTCATATACTAGTACAATTGGGAAAGGAATACAGATCCTGGTTTTTATTTTTTTTTTATTTTTTTTTTATTGATTGTTCAAAACATTACAGAGCTCAAGACATATCATCTTTCATACATTCGACTCAATTGGGTTTTGAACTCCCCAAATACATAATACAGACTCACTTCTGTTACATACTCACCAGATCCTGGTTTTTAAAGCAAAGTCTCAATTATGCTTTCTTTGGTATAGATGTTAGCTGGATTACAAAATAAAGGAGTATGTGTACACACATGTGGGTGTGTGGTTAAATATGAGCTAGCCAAGAATTTTCTAGTTTCCTATTAGAGCAAAATGGGTTTGATTCTTTGTCCTGATCTCTCCCATCCTGGTTCAGTGGGAGCTGAGAATATTCTTCCACCCAACCCACAGGTCAAAGAGTTCTGTGTTATTGGAATGCTATTATTTTTCCAGGCTCTGTAATGTTAATGATTTAATTATCAATATAATTATGTAGCAAGTTTGTTTGATTTTGGGAGGTCTTAGTACCATATGTCAACAAATACTAACAAAAAAAATTCCTTCAGATCTCCAACAGAGAGAGCGAGAGAGAGAGAGAGAGAGAGAGAGAGAGAGACCAAACTTGACCTACTTCCCTCCCTACAACAAATCTCTTTCCAAACATTCCATCAGAAAAGATTACCACTTTAAAAACTTTTTAAAAATAAACTTTCTATTTTGGAATAAGCTTAGATTTTCCAAAGAGTATAGAGAGTTCTCATTATACCTTTCAGCATTTTTTCCCAATGTCTTAATCTTACATAATCTTGGCCCATTTGTCTAAATCAGGGGATGACAAACTGCAGTAGACTGCAGATCAATCCAGTTGTCTGTTTTTGTAAGGCCTGCAAGCAAAGTGTAGTAGTCCCTCATTATCCACAGTTTCAGTTACTTGTGGTCAACCACTGTCCAAAAATATTAAATGGAAAATTCCAGATATAATTTGTAAATTCCATATGCAGCTGTTTTGAGTAGCACAATGAAATCTCAGGCTGTCCATCCCCATCTCAACCAGGATGTGGATCATTCCTTTTGTCCAGGGTATCTATGATGTATATGCTACCCTCCCATTCATGAGTTTTTAGTTAACATATCAGATTCCCTGTATGGAAGTGCTTGTGTTCAAGTAACCTTTATTTTACTCAATAATGGCCTCAAAGTGCATAGGTAGTAATGTTGGAAATTTTACTACGGTATATTGTTATTATTCCTTTATTTTTATTAGTTATTATTAATCTCTTATTGTGCCTGGTTTATAAATTAAACTTTATCATAAGTATGTATGTATAGAAAAAAATCATACATAGGGTTCAGTTCTGTCCATTGTTTAAGTTTTCGCTGGGTAAGACTAATATGTTCATATTTTAAATAGTTGGGGGGGGAAGGCTATAATTCAAGACACATGAAAGTTATGTGAAATTCAAAATTCAGTTTCCAAAATTGGGAGTTCATAACCCACTTCAATCTAATGTATGAAATATGATATGTCAAGAGCTTTGTAATGTTGTGAACAACCAATAAAAAAATTAAAAATTAAAAAAAATTCAGTTTCCATAAAGTTTTATTGCAATACAATTATGTCCATTCCTTTACATATTGTCTGGTTACTCAGACACGTCAGAGAACATCTGGCCCACAAAACCTAAAATCTTTACCATCAGGTTTGCTGAGTTCTGGTCTTAACTAAGAAATGAACATTATTACATTACTATTAACCAAACTCTGAGCTTCGAATCAGTAGTTTTTCTACTAATGTCTCACGATGCAATCCAGGAACCACGAACCACGTTGCATTTAACAATTGCTTTTGTATGGTGAGCAGGTGCGTGATCATCCTACTTTGGAAAATATTCCTGCCTAACAAATGAATTTCAGCTGGCCACTTGAACAGGGCTTGTTTTTTGTTGTTTGTTTGGAGTTGTTTACGTATTTTACACAATAGGCAGACAGTTGAAAACAACATCTGGGCTAGGAACGCTGTGAACTTGAAGATGGAGGAAGAGCTATATTTGTTCAAGCATTCCACACGCCGGGCCAAGGCAAAAGGGACCAACTCAGCCCCTTGAGAAAAGGAGGCTCCCAATGACCCTCTTGGTTCATACGGTATGAGGCCTTCCTCGGGCCCCACGCAGTCTCGGCCCCAGCGCCCCGTCCTTTGTTTCCTCTTCCCCCACCCGAGCCTGTGAACGCGGCGGCTCCGGCTTTCACCCTACGGCGGCTGCATTCAGCGGGCTCCGCGGGCGCGGGCGGGCGGCGTCCGGTTGCCGGGCAACGGCCTGAAAGGCAGCTCACGTTGCCGCCAGGGCCGAGACACATCCGCACCAGCCAGTCTGCGCCGAGAGCCTGTGGCCTGATTTCTCCCCCTCCATTGTTGCAGCTCATACAAAAGGCTACACCGCTAGTGTGGTCACCTCGGCTGCGATGAGTCACTCGCCAGGGCATTTTTCGGGCCGGAGCCTTTGTGGGCTGAGATGCGCCCCCTCCAGGGCACAGCTCCGGGCCTGTCACTGGCAGGCTCGGCGCCTCGCCGCCACCCTTAGCGAGGGGTCTCCCTCCCTGCCTCCGCCCTACCCACCACCTACCGCTTTTGTTCCTTTCAGCAGGCAGCCAGGCCCTCGCTTGCCTTTTGGCCGCTCTGAGATCACTCCGGCGGCGGCGGCCCTGGGCAGTCTTTCCTCCCCACCCGCGCCCTCGCGCTCAAAGTAAGCGTCGCCTATAAAGTCCCAGGCCTCTCGGGTCATCTTTTCTTATCTCTTTTTCAGCCATCTTCCCCGGACCCGCCCCCATCCCTCTCAAAGTTTCGAAGGCTGCGGTTGCCATGGGACTCAAAACAACTTGAAGACTGAAGGGAAGATTTCTATGGTAGCTGACAACCCTCCTCCCAAAACTAAAGAATGAAGACCGAGGGATGTCCTTGGGACTCTCCAACGTTCCCCCTGTCCACCAGTCTTTGGAATTACATTTAACCCACCACCCCTTTACTCCAGGAACCAATTTTCAACATCGTGTTTGGATTCTGGGAAGTTCAGTGGTGAATTGGGAAAAGAAATTTTGTCATGCCTAGGAGCAAGTGTATGTAGAAGCTGGAAGGGTCTCCCTCCAAAGGAAAACTATCCCAAGAATTTTCAACAGTGTAAAATAGACAAAGAGCACCGTTATCACATCTTAGTTGCTGAGGAAGAAGTGCAGGAAGGTAACAGATAATTGGCTTTCTTTACATGTGAAATGCCTGCTGTTCAGGTTCCAAAGAGTGGGCACTGAAAGACCCCCGTCCACTGAAAGACCCCCGTATCCCTGTCCAAGGAGAATCACACGAAACACTGGCTGCAAAAGCAAGAGGTTGGTTTATTGGGACACAGGCGCCTGCGGGTGCCCAGCAGAACCTCAGCCGGAGCTTTGGTGAACTGGCACACCGGACTTGGGGATACAGAGATTTTTATAGGGTTTGGGACAGGTTTCGCGCGCGCGGGAAGCAACAGGTTTCTTATTGGTTTGTTTAAATCTAGCATATAGGCCACCTAGGGGGTACAGGTCTGCATTCCAAAAACCACAGGTCTGCATTCTATTCTTTCTGTTCCTGCTTATCTGTTCCGGTTTATTCATTTATGCCTCAGGATACCGGTGCTCTGTTCTTCAACCGGTTGTCGGGAGAGCTGAACCTGTTTATGGCGTGCCTGGTATCTTGGTTTCATATCTTGGCCTTAGGTAACTAGGCTGACTGGGCTAGGGTCTTTCAGGCACTACTCTCAGCGCCTTCAGCAGGCCAGGAGCAAAAGCACAGGCCCTTGCCCCACATCTCAGCACTGGCTCCTGCCAGCGTGGGAATCCAAGTGTACCATGCATCTGACAACATCCTGCCATCTCTCATAATTCCTATTACTGTCCCCATATGATGCTGTTAAACCCCAGGCACAAAGTAGTAAGACCATAAGAGGGATTCAAACTGTAGTTGTAACTTAATTTTTATATAGAATTCGTATTATAGGGGTGACAGGGAGAGACCCAAAAAGTCTATATGCTTTTCATCTGTTTTACCTCTTTCAGCTGATCTATAGCAAACTGCAGTTACCATAAATCAGTAAATCAGATGAAGTGCAAATATTTGTCTACAAATGTGGCATAAACCCTGACCCCTCAGAGCAGATGCCTACCATTGGGAAACAACTAAACACTGCTCTCTTGATGACTACTGGGATCTATCCCCATGCTAGGGAATTGGAAGTGGGTTGAAAGGAATCCTCAAAAATAAATTATGGTTTCTTCTCAAGATTATTGTTATTCCACTAAAAAAATTCTAAATATAAATTTCATACATGGAATGATCCCCAGTATAACTATTCATAGCTAGAGTTTATCATTAATAATAATACCTAAACTTTCACAACAACCTTATGAAATTTTTTAAATTACTACTATCTCCATTTCACCTATACAAAAACAAAGAATCATTGGAAACTTCTTGCTCCAGCTTTTGTACATGTAGGAGAGACAAAAGGAGAAGGAGAAGGCATTTATTAACTGCCTATAGTGTTTCAGGTGTAATTCCAGGCAAGGTAAATCATGCAAACAAATGACCGTACTTTAGAACTATCAGCCATGTGTAGGACAAACAGAAGGAAGAAAAGTTGTGCTCAGGAGCACTGATAGAAGTTTGGACATATCTAGATTAAAGATTATAGAGGAAGGAAACTAGGATTATAGTTGTGACTAATTTTAGTTACCTAGGAAGCTCAGGGGAGCAAAAACAAGATAATTATGTTTTGCAGAAAAAGGAAAAAGAATGTCCGGGTTATGGGGGATTCCTGAGAGATGGGGCCCCAAGTTTCAACCACAGACCTGAGGTAGCAGTTAGGTAATAAGGCCTTCAAGATGCAGATGAAGAAAAAAAAGTGATGTAAGAGGCACTTGGGAAAGAATCTTGGCCACTGATATATGTGGGGGATGTGAAATAGAAGAGTCAAAAGTGGTGGAGTCTTCAAATACGCAGAAGTTTATTATAAAAAGCTCTCAAGTAGGTTAAAGGAGTTAACTCAGCATCCCAAAATGCCTAACCCACTCCTGAGTAGTTTCTGACAGAAAATCTGAACCAATAAATAAATATTAAATTACTTTACATTATGTAAAACAGTGCTAGGCTCACAAAAGAAGTTAATTGAGTATTCATTGAACGACTGACTGCTTAAATAAATTTAGGAACAAAGATGTGCAAATCCTAAGCTTTCCTTCAAATCAATATGTTTTCAGTTTCTGCCCTGGTGACTATCTGAATAAAGTGTCCAAGACATGGAGATGCATTGGGAAGGAGCAGGAGCCTGGGGCTCATGTCCTATTCTGCATATAACTCGAAGGAAGTTGTTTATACAGGGTGCAATGGCACATACCTATAATCCCAGTGATTCAGGAGGCTGAGGCAGGAGGATCACAAGTTCAAGCCAACCTCAGCAACTTAGCAAGGCCCTAAGCAAGTTAATGAGACCCTGTCTTAAAAATAAGAAAATGAAAAGGGCAGGGGATGTGGCTCAGTGGTAAAGTGCCCTTGGGTTCAATTCCTGGTACTGGTACAAAAAAAAAAAAAAAAAAAAAAGCTTCCCTGTACTTGGACCTTCTTGTCCATTAAGTGTAAAGGGTAGACTGAATCTTAATCATCTAAACTACAAAAATCAACATTTTACAAAAATATCTCCATCCAAAATACTTGAAGAAAAATCAATGAAGCATTTTTCACTGAGCAGAACTTGGCAATTTTCTCCCACAGTAATAGAAATGCATCATACTAAATGGTGAAGGAGATATGATATTTCTAGGCTCTTTTTCTATAAGAATACTGGCAGTGTGCACAAGTTTGGTGGGACTTTCCCATCAATTTTGATTCTCGTGATTTCACACTCATGGAAATTTCTTCAGAGAAGCAGTTTCTTTGGCAACCCCATGCTCACAATCATCTTAGTATCAATAGAAGTTATGCAGACATGTCAGCAGGAGAATAGACCTCTTCTGGGCAAAGGGAAAAAGGAGCTGTCTGCTTTTATTTCCAAAAGCTAAATACAGAAGACACAAAAGATTTTTACCACACTTGTCACATATGGTAGAATAAGTTGAAGATAAAACTCAAATCTATTCCATAAAACAAAAGGCTTTGTGTGTGTTTCAAAGGCATTTTATATTGCATGATATGAAATTAGCTCCAGCTCTTTGAGCATTACATATATATTCTAAAATGAAAGTATAATTCTTCCTTATACTTTCCCTCCCAGGAAAGTAGACTATCATTAAAATAAAGAAAAAAAAAAGACTGAAGGGAAACATTGTTTGTGGTGAGCTTATAAATAATGAAGTGTCTGAATATCAAACAGTTCCAGCAATCTGTATCAGTGTAGTGGTCAAACTCACTCTGCTTCTCCTTAGTATTGATTGTATTTCTAAAATCTAAATTTAGCTTTGATTCAGTATTATCTTTACATTGTGAGGTGTGGGTCAGCAGCAACATCACCTGGATGTTGATTGTAAAAATATACAATATCCAGGCCTATCCAGAATGTGCTTCTAATGAAATCATCAAGTAACTTGAACATTATTATTGGAGAAGGCATGCTCTACTCTACAGCATACATCTACAGAGATGATGTTTTGAAGCAGCAGTTTTCCTTTCTGGGGAAAATAATTGTAGAAATTATTTGCTATAGTGGTCAAAAGGGGGGGGCTGGGCTGGGGATGTGGCTCAAGCGGTAGCGCGCTCGCCTGGCATGCATGCGGCCCGGGTTCGATCCTCAGCGCCACATACCAACAAAGATGTTGTGTCCGCCGAGAACTAAAAAATAAATATTAAAAAAATTCTCTCTCTCTCTCTCTCTCTCTCTCTCTCTTTAAAAAAAAAAGGGGGGGGGCTAACCTTTCCCTAATGACAAAGAACAATAAAATATAACATGCTCTTATTAGTATGAGAAAATGCCATCAGAGGCCTATAATCAGGGATGTTTATATTGGGGGCAGATTTGGAACTCCTCCATCCACATTCTCCTGGGCCAGTGTCTTCATGTGACCAAGCATTCACTTTTGCAAGATGGCTGAGGTTAAGAGTGCAATCTGGCCACAGAAAGAAGAAAAGCTCGCTGACCCGTGCTGACCTCTGACACTGACCTCATTAGCTAACCAAATGAGGTAACCACCCAAGAATATCAGAGCACATTATATTTTGATTACACCAAAGCATAAGAAGATGCAACAAAAGATCAGTTACATAAATGGTTCTATCTTGATCATCCTTACTTATTAAACATAATATGAAGAACGCACACACAAATTATCTTCCATCTTCCGGTATTTTTTCCCATTATACCAACATATATTTAAGACAACAAAAGGTTCTTTTCTTTTATAACTCACTAGTCTTTCCCTTCAAAGTACTTAGGACAAAGTAGAATTATAAATTTATTTGGGGTTTACTATTTTATGATAACCTCTACCACTAAGTTCCCTAAAGGCAAAGATCTCCCTCTGATTTGCTCTCTATACCTAGCATTTAGCCAGATGCCTGGCACCTAGTAAGAGTTCAAGAGACAGTTGTTGAGTAATTAACTACATGAATAAATGATTGAATATTGACTCATAGCTCTAAAACCAAACCTATCTAAATTATCTTGTAATATTCAATAAAATTGACTCTTCTGTTATGCTAGGGATTAGATAGACAAATTCTCTCTGCCTTTTAGAATCTCACATTTTAGTAGAAAAAACAAGATTTAAAATAAATCGGTAACCTCGTAGTCACTACTCCAGGCTCATTAAACATGTTAACTCATTGAGGCC